CAAACAAACAGTAGAGAAAAACTACACCAAAATTTAAAATAAAAAACTAGGGGAAAAAATCAACCTAAACAAAACAAAACAAAAAAAGGCCTAACAAGCCACCAAACACAGAACTTTCACCCAAAATTCACACTGGGGAATTTTATCTTGTTAGSAGGGGCTAAATCTTCTGTTTTTCCACAGTGGAGGAAATTCAATGGAAGTTCAACTGGGCCTCTGAAGTCCATGGCTTCTGCCACCTACACACCACCACCATGTACACTCCTTACATAATTGTCCCAGTGCCAGTGGTGTCACAGCTTGCTTCACCCGAGATGGAGCTTTCTGTGAACACTTGTTATCTCCTCTGAGGCCAGGTTACATTTGTGTACTCTTTGAGGCAAAATCCCATTTTTAGAGTCACTGTGTATAAGCCTAGTCCATATCTAAAGATACAAAGGGCTATTTCATACCATCTTTAGGTCATCTCTGCTTTTAGCTAGTGGAAAAAGTAAATGTCCTTTGCAACAGCTATTGAGTTTCATTTAGTCTTAAAAAAATTATTACAGTTCTGAGGTGGACAAATGGGTCACCTCAGAGCTGCAGAAGATGTGTCATGGTGATCACAGCAGTGCACCAACATTGCTTCCTCCACACCTTTCTAATCTGGGTCACTTGTGGTGATGGGATAGATGAGGGGAAGTCATATGAGGAGGGGCTGAGATCCCTTGGCTTTTCAGCCTAGAAACGAGAAGACTTAGGGGAGATTTCATTGCAGTCTACTGCTTCCTTGTCAGGGGAAGAGGAGGGGCAGGCACTTCTTCTCTGCAGTGACCTGTCACAAGGCCTGAAGCCATGTCAGGGAGGTTTAAGCTGGATATTAGAAAAAGTTTCTTCAACCAGAGTGTGGCTGAGCACTGGAACACCTCCCCAGGGAAGTGGTCACAGCACCTAGACTGTCAGATTTCAAGCAGCRTTTGGACAATACTCTCAAGCACATGGTGTGGTTCTTGGGGTGTCCAGAGCTGGACTTCAATGATCCCTGTGATTCGCTTCAAACTCATGATACTCTGTGAAACCTATTAAGTTTACCCAACATGGTAACTTGAAAGCAATTCTGAAAA